GGGGGGGGGTTGGGAAAATATATTCTACAGCCTTTCATTAAAAAAATAAAGAGCCCTCATCTCCAGAGCTTTTCAATCTCTCTGGCTGCCTATTGAGCGGTCTGAGGAGGCAGACCTGAAAATCAGAAATTCCTCTGGTATGGAAATCTCCCAGCTCTCGGAATCAGCCAGGTTTCCAGGTCGCCTTCAATAATCATAAATAATAAACCGGCACGTCCATGGAGAGGTCATGCATTAAAGTCCTGTTTCAGGTCCCTCCATTCCTCTTTTTTCCAAGGGTTATGACAATAATATTGCATGTATCAGGCTGAGCCTGACAGAGTTTATTAGGAAATTAAGTCTGTAGCTTGGCTCTGACTTGAAAATTTAAATTATAATCACTCCTCTGGGTATCTAAGAGGGTTATTGCCAGAAAGGAAAAATAAATTGGAAGAACTGCTTCTTCACTACTTTACACTGGCACAGTTTTCTTTGTGATTTCGATTTACTACTTTTGTGTCTGCAGTCAAGTTCCATAAATTTTGCTGTACTCTATTGTGGTGTAATTTTTCGGAGTTATCCTGTTAGAGGCTACGTACCTGTATACAGTGCGCTTTCAGGCAAAGTTAACGTGAACACAGTCTATCTACAAAATTTTCATTCATCATTTGGTGTTTTACTGGGTCTTTTTGCTCAACATTGAATAGTCATTACTTGACATCATGCGCTGTAATTTCGTGTAAAATTTCACAGGATTATGTATAAGGAAGGTTTGGCATGCTTCTGTTTCTTAGAGCAACCTTATGCGTTTTGGTCTCTGTAAATAAGCAGACCTGATTTTATATGATTCTCTATAAGATGTACCATTATAGCTTGCATGTCCTGAGGTTGTTAGGAAAGCAGTGATTGACAGTTGGCTCAAAGTGGTGATTTGTGTGCCTTGGATGGCTCAGAGTGTGTAATTTAACAACTCAAATGCACTGCCTTGTTACAGAGCAAAATGTACACCATTAAAATGATGTACTGACAATCCCCGTTTGAACCAAAGCAGTTTCAGTTTTTGACTCCTAACCAACATGTTCATGTGTGTTTTTATGGGTGCTTTATATAAAAGAAATGCACCAATTAAACATGTTGTGGTATAATGTGAATTATAAGATTGAAATTGTCAGATAAATGTAGAACTTTTTTTAGAAACATTTGCTGATCATAAATTCAATAATAGTATGTCTTGTTTTAACGCTATTTATCTTTTTTCCCCAATTAAAACCTCTTTATTTCTGACATTAAAGTTTCATGAGCAGACTGAATACAGCCCCTTAGTTATCCCCACGCCACCTGTGGGCATACATTTCTAGTACCGCTTACCTGTGGGCTACGGTGTGCTTCAGACTCACTGTGTCTTCCGGACGGGAGTTCCTCTGCTCCCTTTGACAAGGCTTTCGACTGGAGTCGATCCATTAAGCCATATGTAAATCTCCCCTTACATCCTCATAGAAATGGCTTAAAATATTCCCTTCCTCCTTTGGGGTTTGAAATGTGTCGGATGGGCTCTTTCATGTCATCAGTAGAGCTTCAGATGCGGCAAATGCAATTGGCTAAATGTAGAGCGCAGATTTTTTTTTCCACGTTATTTAATAACTGTATCGAACAACAATCAATCAATTGTGAATCCTGCTCAATAGCCAAATATCTTGGAATGCACATATATGGGTCATACAATAATGATGATTTTGGCTTCTTTAAATGAGTAGAGCATAAATGCATGACATCTTTGAAATGTTCCTCACGCCCATATAAATCAGTTGTCCTGTGGTGGAGTCTGTCCCACAATTTCTCGCCGTGTGCCAGTAATACTCAAAGCAGGTGGCACCAGTGCTACAGAACAACTGTCAGTGTTTGTGTGCAGGAGACGCCCAGCGAGCGTCCAGCACTGTGGGCGACGCCCTCTGGTCACGCCTGGCTGCCCGTGTCAGCCGCTCGCCTGTATCTCTGTTATCTGTGGGTATAGCTCACGCGCCCTGCGGGAGAAGCAGCCGACGCGGCGCTATTAGCGAGGAGGGAAGGATGGAAGGAGAGCGAGAGGGGCTGCTGACCATCCTGTGACATCGATGGGGGGGGGAAAAAAGGAGGGATGCTCTGTGACAGTGGTATTAAGTGAAGGAAAATTAAAGGAACAGCTGCAGTGATGACAGATTATATGTGATTTAACTTTGCTTTTAAGGTAAATGTCACCAGTGAGCAAGGCATTAAAATGGTGGTAAAGTGGTCTTTAAAACCGGCTCCCCGTAGCCAAAGAAGGCCTCCATCTTCATTTACTGTAATTGTCTTACTTGTAAGGCAGCAGTCTGTTGCATTTCTCTATTTTAATATATTATTTCTTCAATGAGCATTTTCCTAATGGAACTGTGTTTTTCATCGATTACACAAATCCCCCTGTTAGCGCAGCATTAATTGTGAATTTCTCGCGCTTGTTTGTTATTTATGCGGCACGAATGGTTGTAGCTCTCTTGCCCCCTTTTGATGGGAAACCAGACATTTGGAAAGGTGTCAAATAAGCAGGAGCTGCTGAGGTAGCAGCAGTGACGCTGCCGATCTTTTATTCATTGCCACCTTTCTCACCGTTTCATCACTTTCCTTTTCTCCTGAATTATCTAATCGGGGGTCTGCAGAACTGCTTTGGCCGTCTCCTTGCTGCTCAGATCTCTGCTGGACAAGCTGGGGTCTAACAGGTGTTTATGGTCAGAATCTGCCGTCGTTCAGTCTCCCCCAGGGTGTGTGGAAAGGTGTGAAAGTTACACCTTTTTACTGCTGACTCCAAGGTACTTGTAATGGGAAAATTACATTGATCCATGTTCACATACTGATTTGTCTGCCGCTGAAACTACTGCCACGAAAACCCGTGATCTCTCATGCTTCATTTTGCACTATTCACGTTTGAAGTGTTTTGACCCAATGTATTGTCTCGCACGGGAATGTTTGTTAAAGTTCTAGTGCTTCCTTGACAGTCACTGCAGGCCCAGTGATAAATCTGTAGTCGATCATTCTGTTAGTAAGGGTTTGTTAATGGTATCTGTTGCTACTTTGGTTTTTATACGGCATTGTTTGGTAATGGGTGCTCTTCTGTTTTAAGAGGCTGCTGTAAAATTTGCATGCAATTAGCTTGTGATAAATATTCTGTCTGAATTTTACAAGTAAAAATATTACTTATTAAATATGTAGGTAGAGATTGCAGACAGTCACTGAGTGCAGAACATCCAACTTACGGACAATTTGAACTTGGAAACGGTCTGCCATAAAGCCTATTACATAAAAAATTAAGGTTAAATACAATGGTCTGTAATAACAAATGTACTCATTACTTTGTGATGCTCGTGGTACAGTACAGTACTGTATGTAGTTACTTTTATTGTTACTGCAATGCTGTCATTATTCTGTACTGTACTTCACTTAAAGACGGACTTAGGGAATGGATCTCGTTATTTGGGTACCGCCTGTATTATTAATGTTCTCATTATTGTGTTTCATCTCTCTCTTTTTTTTTTTTTGGCCCAGTTGTCCGTTAATGATCACGGCTGAATTTCTGCCCGATCTCTCCATTCCACGCAGAGCCTGCTGAGGTCGTTCCACAACATTAAGGATGTGGGGGTCGTGCAGGTGAAGGTGATCCGTGCCGAGGGGCTGATGGTTGCTGATGTCACAGGTAAACAGAGTCATCAGATGTAATCACCTGTTATCTTGCCATTCACACCAGGAGATACTGGAATTACTGATGCCGCAGACAAGCTGGGCAAGGAAAGCCTTTCATTTTTTCCTTTTCTAAGCAGCTGAGAGAGAACATATTTTTTTCAGAAACAGAGGCAAACATTATATTATTTTTACATTCTTCAGATACCAAGTGAAAATAGAATACAATATAAATTATATGTAATAAATATAGTATTTTTTTCACTTTTTTCCTTCATAATTATCTTTTATGATTTAAGATGTATGTTCTTTTTATTAGTCATTTTAATAATGTCACACAATGCTTTTCTAATCTCGGCACAGCTTGATCTGCAGTGTGTGGTGTCATTCAATCCTGATTCTGCAGTTGCAGTGTGTTTTCGTAATTCCCTATGACATGTAGGTGTACTAAGGAACTTTTTTCACAACACTTTGCAATTAGAAACTTTCTGTATTGATGCTGTTCAAAATACGTTGGAACGGGTAAGAGTATGAATTGGAGTTTCACGGAAAGGCCAGCCGTGACACTCGGTGGGACTCCGAGCAGCGCTGTCCCTCTCAGTGTGGCCGGTCAGCCCTTCACCTTCCAAGGCTTTCACATGCTTTTGACTTCAGAGGGGTCCTTCTTCGTCTCGCTCTTTGGTGGAGCCGCTGGGCTCAGAAGTTCTCAGTGTTGGTCAGTGTGTTGAAGGTTATCGTGAGGAGATTAGCATTGGCACTCAGACTCAGCAGCAGCCACACTCTTGATGCTGCGAAGGGGCAGTGATACCCTGTCACTCACATTGTCACCTCCGTGAGCAACAAAAAGTCGTAGCATGATGCCTATTATCTGTGTCTCATTCGTCACTGTTCTTCTTATTTTGCTACTTATGCATTTTTCTAAAGCAACACAGATTCTGCCCATTCAGGCAATCCCTTGATGTAGGGGTGGACTCCAAATTAAGTGTCTTGTGCAAATGTGCGATGATCGGGTGCCTCTTCGGCATTAATCGGTAAACCTTCACATTGATGTCTATATCCATAAAGATACCTGCTGCCTCTCCTTAACAAAGCAGCTTAGATGTTTAAAGGACATCAGCCTGGGACTGAAGCTGTTATAGGTATTGCTGTATCTAAAGACTGCGGATTTCAGCTTATGACATCATCCTGTTTTGCTGCGGTACCGGGTCTGCTGGTCCATAGCTTCCAGCCCCAGACAGCAGTTGGGTTGGGCCCCCCTTCCCCGGCTGAGTCTGTCTCCTCCAGGATGGGACAGGGGGCTGAAGGGGTCAGAAACAACACCTCTGTAAGCTACAGCCCATTAGAGACGACAGGGTGTCATATGGGTAGCCCAGGAGTCCCAATTAGGAAGCATGTCATCACAATCTCAGGATGTTTGTCCCCGCAGTAATGAAGCTGTGCTACTGTCACATGCAAAAAGAAGAACCTTTTCATCTCGCATGTAGACCCTTCACAGGCTGTCTGGAATACTTCAAATTAGATATATTATTGCCATTAGTGTTCATGGAATGTGTAATGCGTACTTGTAATATTTTTTTCCTTGGAATACCTGTAAATCAGGAATGGTGGTGGTGTCTAATATATTATTTATTACGACCAATTCCCCGCATTTAAGCGCTGACAGACATGTACAAAGGGTGTCTATAGACCATATAGTAAATAACGCGTCTTGCCTGCACATCGCACTCCCTGGCCCTGATTTACGCTCTCGGGGAAGGGTGGCGGGGGGCAGGGGAGAGACAGGAAGATACGGCAAAAGCGGGAGGGAGAGGAGGATCGAGAGAGGTGATCATTATGAATGCTAAACGGAGGGTGGCGTTTTGATGGCTTGCCTTTCTGCGTACAAAACAGTCTGTTTGGCTGTCTGCTTCACCAGACCTTAATTAAGATGTGCTCAAGGGCAGGCACCCCCTTGTAACCCCCTCTCCCCTGCTGTGTCACAGCCCAGCAATCACATACTCTCAGATGGTCCAGCCCATGACTTTGACCTTGTGCGTGGTCCAGTGTTCCCTGGGGAACAGGCCGCCTCATGAGCTCTGATTTCACACTCCTCCAGAGCCTCGGCACTCCGCACAATGACAGGGAGACAAAACCCTTTAGAGCACGATGCACTGAGGACTTGTTTCAATTGGAGAACCAGAGAGGTGTCAAGGAACAAGGTTATGGGCTACAGCGGCCTTTAATAAAGAGCTCACATTTCTCAGATTGGAGCACGGCAAAGCTCTCCCGTTCTGTGACTGTCTCCATCGTTCTGCTCTCTTAGCTCCTCTCCTCTCTGCTGTCACTCCCTTAGTCCCCTCAACTACTTAATTGCTACATTATGCTGGAGTACCTCCTCTCTATACCACAAAACAAATGAAAATAGCCTATAAAACAAACATTGTCGAACAGTGTTGGTTTAAGAACTCCAATTATCTGACTATTCTGTGTCTCTCTGATCTCAACTAGTTCAAGTACTTGTAGGATCTTAATTGTCTGAGAACGTGAGAATCGAATTACCCCGGAATTAGGCTGTGAATAATAAATCAAAATTTGTCTTATTCCTTAAATTCAACATGTTATAACATGTAAGCGGAAGAGGTCATCTTGATAAACTTAAAATGTCAGTGCTACTACTTTCTAATTTCTGTTTCACATACATGCATTCCTGTATTATTTTAAAACCCAAGATAGGTCAACAAAGATTAAAGAGCATTTGAATGGGCATATTGTTAATATTACCATATTACACATGTCAGCTAATGCATGGTTAAATACAGTGCAAAAATATAATTCATGCTGCAGATTTTACCATGGTTTTCTAATAAAATTTAATATCAAATACCCTCGAATAAGTAAAGATTAGCAAAGGTTATCACCTATTATGTAATGTAGTCATTCACTGTTAAGAATGTGAAATTGCAGTGTCTGTATATCGGCATACATAAACATTTGGTTATAAAGCTAGGTGATAAGGATATCTTTATAATTCTGAGTTTGAAATCAAACTTTCTTTAGGAATTTTTTCACTTTAAAATCATACTTAACATTTTGTTCCAACAATTATACATCACATCTTTAATTTACCATTAATTTGTATTATGTATAAAAAATACTTAATATAATTTAATAAACAATGCAATTAAACACGATAAATTCACAGATATTTTAAATTATTGTACAATAAATTAAAATACATTTGTTTTTCTGTAATGCATTTCATAGAGATATTATTTGTACAAATTAAACATTTTAATGGATTTGCAAACTACTGAACCTGTCAAACATTAATATCATTAAATTTCAATAATCATTTTCAGGTTGCATGTTTAAATAATATAGCAAATTAAATATTTACAGACTTGCCTCATTAAACACAATAAGCAAATATTTGATTGAAAGTTTGGTATATATCCTTATTTGGAATGAAAATACTTGCACACACACACACACACACACACATATATATTAATAACAAAATAAAATTGCATATTATTTCTTGAGTACTTGGTATAGAATGGATATGCCTGCGGACCGCAGACAAATTGGTCAAGGTCTCCCTTTGATCAGAGCAGGATTCATTCAGTATATCAGGGAAACGCTCTGACCGCATTCTTAGATAACACTTGGTAATCGGTGGCAATGTGTTGTGTGTTGTGTGATGCACAACCTACTTTTTAATATTAATATTGATTAATATTTTTTTACTAAGTGATTTTTTCTCAAGCTTTGTTAATTATTTTGCCATGTTAAATAATGTATTTTTATCCACTTGTCTGGAGAAAAGTAAAGATCAAAGCTTGCAAATTAGTTTATTACTAGTAATGAGAATATTTTTCATGTATATGTCAAGCTGAATACCAAATACTCTATATTTAGGGCATCAAGTTTTATTAAAATTCAGTTCTAGAGCACAACATGACTGTAATTATGTATATTAATAAACTAATAAGTTGATTTTTTTAAATAGATTTGTTGCTTCCTTTATGATTTATAAGACAGTTTCTGTCAAATTCACTACCAAGTATCTGTGACAATGTGTGATATTTTCTGTGTGATATTTTTGAGAGACATTATTCTTTAAATCCACTCTAACATTATTTAACATGCCATTCTATACATTGCCGTGACAACTAAGGAAATAAATTCTCTGAGGAATGCTATCCGTGTCAATCTTCTTTTTTGCTCAGGAATAAAAATTTTATTGCCAGTAAACAGTGGCAAATGCTTTGTTCTATTTCATATAATGAGAAACTGACATTTGTGTTCTTGTCAAGCACAACCTTACTGGCGTTAATATTTGCTGATGTGGAATTTAAAAAGCGGCGGACTTCACCTTTATCCTCTCCTTTCACAGCCCCCTGACAGTGAAATCTGTTTATGTACATGGACTCTGTCAGAGATGATGTCCTCTGCTGGTGCCTGATAGTGGCAAAGGCAGAGGCGCTCAAGTGCTTATTCTACGCCGTCTAAAGCCCATAGCTTCGTGTTGCGCGGATGTGACGGCATGCTCTGAAATAAATATATCAAATAATTGTTATAATGATAAATTACAGCTTCGCTCAGGCTGGGCGGAAGACAGTTGTAATTTCCTGTTGTGGCATGGCTTTGCTCACCTTTATCTGCAGGAAAGCTGCACCGGCTCTCTGTGGCCGGCTGCTGGATTAAGCAGCAGCAAATAAGTCCAATGCTGATAAAGTTAATGCATCCCTTTATCTGATTGTTCCTGCTCCCCCTGGTAGGCAAAAGTGACCCCTTCTGTGTGGTGGAGCTGAGCAACGATCGACTGCAGACACACACCGTGTACAAGAACCTTAACCCAGAGTGGAACAAGGTCTTCACCTTGTAAGTGCTGTCTTGCACCAAATCTGTTGTACCATAATACTGTTCTGCGTCTGCTGTATACGACTGTGCATGTCCCCTATGCTTAATGCATCTGCACCAGCAGATTTATGTTGGATATTATTTTGTCTGTAAATATGCTTTTTTTTTCTTGCCCTCTGTTCAAAAACTTTGGACTGAGCAGTATTCTTCTCCAAGATATCACTATTGCAGTCCTGACAGAATTAGTGTATCTCTGGTACTTTCCATCAGAATGCTGTATTGACCGCAGTGAAAAAGCAGAGCTGACTTATTTTCTAAAGTTTTTGGATTTTGAGATCAGTTTAAATATTTTTCAGGAAAAAAAGTGTATAATAAAATTAAAAAAAAAAACCATAATATTACGCTATTCTGTTTTTTTCTTGTATAATATAAAAAACAATAATTTGTTTAAAATGCTTTATTTGTTTATTTTTTTTATTTACAATTACAGAAAACTGTGGTATTATTAGTCAGGGTAAAATGTTCAGCATTGCTCTTATGTATTTAACCTCAATTATAACTATATAAAACATAGAATTCTAAACCATAATAGGAAATCTGCTACAACAGTAGACAATACCATCAAGGCTTGATGTAAAAATTCAAAATTAAAGCACAATGTTGAATTAAGCAAACAATTCAGTGACATTGTAATTATTATGTTATGTATAAAATTACAACATGTAATACCTGGCTAGTTTTAACAATAAAACTGATTTAACCACTTATTCAGTAACATTCAAACTAGCAATTAAACTGTCATTTTTTTCATTGTCATCATGCAATATAATAACAATGTAGGACAAATAATGTTCTTACTATCTGTCTTTATAGCGTAGAATAAGCTGTAGTATAATTATTTTTGACACAACCATTTATCAAAGAATTTGTATACACTTTGTATAAACTTTTTTAATGACCTAAAAATAATACAGTGTTACAATATATGTTAAATATTTATATTAAGGTTATATCATTTACTTCACACAATCCAGCACGTTCACTGCAAGATTACAGGAGTAGAAATCATTTTAAATTCCCAATGAAAATTCAGTAATTTAGCTGTCACATCTCTGACAATAACCTCATTCTTTTCTCATTAAGGTTTTCCTCCTCAGTAACCTACTTTTAAGAGACAGCTGATGAGAAAGGCGGTTACAGTTTGCCCAGTTTTCACCCCAGCATTTTATATTACATGCAGACCATTTAGATAATTAATTTGGTCTTGGCTCCTGAAGTGTTTGCTTGACAGTCCTGGGTAACCGCTTCACATTCTGTTCCTGTGCCTTCTGCGGCTGCCCGCTTTATTAGCAACGTGAAAGATATACATTCGGCGCTGGAGGTCACCGTCTACGATGAGGACCGGGACAGGAGCGCCGACTTCCTCGGCAAAGTAGCCATCCCCTTGTTGCATGTGAGTCTGATGATGTGCCTCTGCTTGAGAAAAGAAAAAACAGAAGAATGAAAAATCTTGAAAAAATGAGACTGTAATCATGACTGAATGAGAGAGATAAATACGGAGGAAGGAAAAGTTTTTAAAAAGTATAAAAAAAAGTATAATGTGCCTGGTTCATTCCCCAGGGTAGTTCATTTCTGGCTGACAGTGGCATCGTGGTAATGAACAGGTACTTGTCAGACTTGCCACAGTTGTTTTGGGTTCTCTGTCAGATCCAGCAGCTGCGGGTCAGAGGTTGGGGTGGGGGGGGGTCTATATTCAGCTGGGTATTGCCAGACAGACGGCTGTCATGTCCCTTTTCCTACAGATTCAAAATGGTGAACGCAAAGCTTACGTCTTGAAAAGCAAGGAGCTGACAGGGCCAACAAAGGGGGTCATCTTTCTCGAAATAGACGTGATTTATAATGCTGTGAGTCGCTTTTCTTCTCCTCCTCCTGTTTATTCCTTCCCTTCACTTCATTTTCTCTTTCTGCCGTCCGTTTTTGTTTTAATTGGAGACGATGAGAAGGTCCCCCTTTGTTTGTGGATTCAGCAGACGAATATGTCGCCGTCTCTGGCTGCCGCCATTTTGTTAGCGAGGCGACAGTGTGCCGTGCATGCGGCATCTCAGGGACGAGAGCATGCCTGGCTTCCTGCGCGTACAGATATACTTATTCGCTTGACTATAGTGTGCACAGAAAGGAAGTGTATAATTTAACAGATGTAAATAAATATTTACTTCATCTAAATCCATGAAATGTCTGTTTGCTGTAAGTGGAATAATATCTGTCTGTGTTTACTGCTAATAGTCATGTATCTTAATTCATAGATCAAAGCTGGTCTTAGAACTTTGGTACCAATGGAGCAGAAGTATATCGAGGAAGAGCCCAGAGTCTCTAAACAGGTATTGGAAATGTTACAGGATGTGTCACCTGCCCCCATACAGAAATATATTTCTGAACAGACCCTCCAATTTCCACGTTCTTTTTCTCGGAGTGATAGCGGACAGCTAGCGTGAGCAGGAATCGTGTCGCCATCGGACATCAGCGCGGGGCTGAGAGAATGTGCCCCCGCCTCGTGTGGGCGGTGAATAGAAATGTCACGCTGTCAGCACTGTGGCCGTGTAAGAGGCCCAGCCACCTCGCAGCCCTCTGTGCCACCGGAGCAGTACGCTGCATTGTGACCGGCTGACAAAGAGCTGAATCGGAGGGGCTGGCCCAAATCAGACGTGTCACAAAACGCTGTTTGGCCAAAACAGACATGTTTCCTGGCCCTTTGTCCTGTCTTCACACCGAGAAACGCATCCACTGAGCTTTCTGCCATTTTTTTTTTCCCCCCTTCATGTTTTTACTGACTTTCTTAAGAACATAGGTCAAGTGTGTAGATGACGATGTCATAGGTTTCTGGAGAATAATCTCTCCCACACTGTTTTGTAAGCAGCTTGACAGAGCCACCAATTCTAGTAAAGTGACATACAATCCGTGCAAGTGAATCCAATACATTTGACATTTTTTACATGAGCATTAACTGAAATATGAACTGTGTGCTGAGAACTAAATGTTATCATTTGTATTGTTTTCATGAAGGTATTAAAAGAAAGCAGCACTCCTATAGTCTTTTACATTACAGATAGGATGTTTATTTGGGGTCCAGATATTTCCATAAACGTAATGATCCATCAGGGGAAAAAATATGACAAAAATACAACCTGGATGCTATGATGGCTACTTAAGGACCTGAGCAGTCCTATCTCCAGAAGTTCTGTTATCTTTTTTTGCTGTTAGTCTATCAGAAAACAAATCCTCTGGATTGCATTAATTTACTGGTTAATGGCAGCTTCAGTGAGCTGAAGTTGGCTGTTGAATTATTGCTTTTTTAATCAGTTAAAGTGGCGTATTAAATTCTGTGACGAATTGACAATTTTTTTTGTGATGTTTACATAAATGAAGCTAGCAAAATATGTTTTATCTTATAGACATGGGTACACAGGTAGACTTAACCTTCAGCTGCACTTACAATAGTCTATCAGCTGTCCTCAGCCTGCAGTGATGCGATGCAAAGTGTCATCAGTGCCTTTATGTGTGTGTTTGTACTTCATAGCTGCTGCTACGAAACTTCAACCGACTGAAGCGCTGCGTCATATTCCTCATCAACATCGGCTGCTTTGTCAACAGCTGCTTTGAGTGGGAATCTCCGCAGAGGAGCATCTGTGCCTTCGTGGTAGGAGCCTCTTACATCTCTATGAATTTCTCCTTCACAGACAGGGTTCACGGGTCATTGTATGAATTCAAGAAGCTGCGGCCCCCATGAAGCTTCTCTCCGGCCGCCCTTATGTCAGCATTTCCATGATTCTTTGCTACATGCCACTTATCTCCTCTGCTGCTTCCATCATGGCTCATTCTCAACATTCCATCACTTTTGCATTGTGTGTCAATGTGTGTTTTTGTTCTCCTGCACTTTTCCTGTCTATCTATGGGCACTGCAGTCCAGGAATGTCATTTCACGTCACCGTATGTAGCGTACTGAACATGATTAGTATGACAGCGAAGCCCCATTTCGCTCGATTCGACTGATGTTTCCAACAAACTGAAAGTAGCCCAGGAATGATCAGGATTCTCCAAGGTAATCAAAGCACCCTTTATGGTGACATCACTGCAATCCTGCATGGTTACAGAGAGCCGTTTGATCAGGATCAGGTAGCTCTTTTGTTATGTCAGTTTGTCTCGAATGATCAGCTAGATTTTACCCAGCAAGCAATGTGTAAAAGTTTCTTAAAATAGCAGGTTCAGTGTGATATCGCTGTAATGGTTTTTTTATGACTCAGATTAGCTACATCAGACAGAATCGCTTAAGTTCCTGTTGCTCCTCCTCCTCCTCCTCCTCCTCCTCCGAGGACCCATACCTATGATGACTTCCTGTTCCTGCTACACTCCAGCCGTTGCTCCTGCTGTCATTTAGCCATCAGGCTTTTGCATATTACATGCCATTTGGAATACTAAAGGCTCTGTTCCGCTTCTGCTGAAACGGTTCCAGAGAGTAGAATAAATAGTAATTGTGCTTTTGCGCTCTCTCTCTCTCTCTCTCTCTCTCTCTCTCTTTCTCTCTCTCTGTCTCTGCCTCGTTCTCTTGTGGTGACATATGAAGAGTCCCATTCTGTCATGCTGTCACTCGCACTCTGTGTTAAGCTAAAACGTATAATTGGACAACTGAGCTCTCATCAAAAGGACACTCTTTCTTAAGCTCCCAAATTGCCAAATTGTACTACAAGACAAACTTATAATCCTTCATGTGATTCTGCATAAATTGCCAGAGGAAGTGGCTGTCAGTGTGACTAGCCTTTTCAGCTGCTTTAAGTGCCTCTGTACTATGCATTAACATTTAGTATTTGACAAATAATTTCTGAACGGTCTCGGGACCTAGAGTGCAGGGCACCCGTGGTTTGCTGGGGAGAAGGAGGATATTGTATTGATCAGTTAACATTTTGCTTCAGATTTTTTTTTATGGTTGTTGCAAAAATTAATGAAAATGTCAGACAAAAATGTCAAGGGAGTTATAAAAAGCAAGGTAGGATTTGATTGCTTTTTCTTGTCCCAAACAAATATTTTTGTGCGTGTGTGTGTATTCTATAATTTTTATGTGGGTTTCAATCAGTTGTTTTGCTTAAATAATTTACACATAGTGGATTAATGATTTAAAACTTATAATGAATTTTTAAATATTCATTTCAATCATTTGTGACTGAAAGTATGCAAATACAATAATATTTCATGATGTTATTTTTAAGGAAGAGGCCTTTATTATTGCCCATTTACAGTAGCATCTCATATTCAGGCCAGCTTGCACAATTTACGACTGTATGAAAAAGGCTTTAAAGCTCCTTTTCCCAAGGCAGTAAGCAAGGGCAGCTAGAAGCTCTCACATGCACTGAAAGCATCAGGTGTGGCGGACTTTCCTCTGTCCTATCAGACGGGAAAGACGGCGGCCTCTGCCCCCTGCGAGAGCCGAGGCGCCCGGACGTGGGAGCCGTCAGTTTACTACACACGCTGTACTCTCGGATCATTTCTCCTCATTCTGAAGCCGTCATTGCGAGAGGCGTATTAATTACATCACTCATTTCTTTAAGTACCTTGTAAAAGGGACCATCTGGCTCAGGTGGTGTGTTTCTGGGTAGCTCAGTACATCTGTTTTACTTTTGGTGCGCGCAGCGTGCCGGATGTCAGGCAGGCCTGCCAGGAGAAGAGGGTTAACGACGGGAACTCTCAGAACTTCACTCTGGTCTGATTGCTTAGCACTGTGCCTTTACACAAGCTGGTGCTAATTACTCTAAAAGCTCCTTCTCATGTAGCAACTTCTACTCTACCTTTGCTCACCCTTTGTGAGCGTGTCTAAAGGACACTCATCCCTAACTTTTTGCATGTGATGTATTTTGAAATAGTAACTTACTGTGAGTTTTATACATGCAGTAATGATGACATCTAATCTAAAGTCTGGCTGCTTCCATCCATCCATCCATCCATCCTTCCTTCCTTCGGGGGGACATAAGGCCCAGAGCTGAGATACACCCTGCTTGGGCTGAAATAGACAACAGTCCTTACTTATTAACAAGCATTCATGAGAACTGTTTTGTGTTCTTGTTACATAATGAAAAAAATAATATAAAATTATTAATATGTAAATTAATTTGTAAAATAATATGCAAATATGTCAAAAAAAAAAAATCACTTTTTTCAGGTGTACTTGCATGCAGAGTCAAGATTTTCTATAAATGAGTGAATTACATTCAGGTAATGGCATAGGAGAGTGTTTGAGATTGGGGGGCACAACTTATTCATTTAAATACGGTCTGTTTATTGGGGGGAAGACTGAAGCCAAGTTAAATACTGGGTTGCGGGGGGACACCTCCCCCCCCCCGGTTCCTATGACCCTGCTTGGATGAGCACAGTAACGGCACCATTCAGGCCCTTTCCCAGTGCAGGCTGTCACCTGAGCCACTGCTCCCATCACCCCATCCTCACCCTGCTCGCAGCCCGGCCCATTAGCACTTGCGATTACGGATCTGCAGGAATAATTCAGCCCCTTTTTCTGCCCGCCGCCCCCCACCCCCAAGGCCCCCCCAGCTGTAAGGAGCCCACCGTGACAGTGCTGGAAATCCCTCCCACATGACGCAGTGCGCAGGGGTCAAGCACCCGCTTTACCTTTCTACCTGAACACCTGCAAGCTGAGCCCCTGCCCCCCCCAGCCCCCCGGCAGAGGGGCCCATTGTGGCGTCGGGGCCGCATTTGTCTCTGAGCCACTTTCCTGCCAGTTTCCCCCCCGTGAATGAAAGACAAGTTTGTTATTGCCCCTGGGAGTACAGGCTTTGCTGCCTTTTTTCACCAAACAAATTTGCTGTAACTTTATCTGCAATTGGGCTCTGAATTGGGAGCAAATAGACTGTGCATTGTTTGGCACAGGAAGGGAGAGGGTAGAAGAAGGCGTTTGTTTAGAAGCAAGGGAAATGATACTAGGGCTTTTATGTTCAGCAAAGTAGGACTCTTATCACTGGGAGAGCCAGACAAGGGAGCTTTTGGTGGAAACTGGAGCACACATCACCTGTTTTGCATTTAGATAAAATTCACCCTCAAAGGAAAAAAAAACACGCATATGCACACATATAACTGTATAATTCATATATGCTGGGGTGCACATTTTGAAGTGTGATGTTCTTTTATTTAAAAGGGCTGAGCAGGTGACATTGCTGAATGTTTCAGTGTTTGACTCATATATCATTGGAGTGTGAGGATTTTGAGAACTTTATCACAACTGCAATTATTTTGTAGCTATGTATGTATAAATGATATATGCGTTTGTTTATTGTTATTTTCTATGTATTTCTGCTGTAGGTATTGCACATGCATGGGAATTAAAAGCCTTCGTGTTCTACAGTGCCATTTTTGAAATGTACTGTCGTTCTCTAAATGGCCACTAGAGGACACTGCTACACTATGTTAAACAATATAAATGCTCTTCTAGTACAGGCAACAAATTGAGTAGGTATTAGTCAATCCATTCCTTTTAAACAGAATAATTGCTTTCGAGTTTTTTGATTATAAGATGACATTAGTAATATTAGAGGTTTATCTAATGTAATTTGTTTAATTGTGTAGTGAATGTGGTTAATTTTCTAGATCTAACTTTTGATATATGAACGGTTTAACTTTTTTGATATATGAAGACAATTTTTTAAGAATGTTTCGCGTTTAAGAACATATGAAAAAGCAGTTGAAAAACAGGGTATTCAATGAATCGTTTTGTTTTTAATCAATTGTTTAATCAATACTTTGTATTTGTGGTGATTTAAAAATTTCTATATGTGTTATTTGCTGTTATTGTTATTCCACAGATAAATTCCACAGAGTAGCTAATTTAAATCAGTGTTAGTAAGATGATCATAAATCAAACATTTACCACAATAGCCATGGTAGCTAAAAATAGTATTATGTACTTATAGTACTGACATATACTTATATATATATATAAAATAAATGAATGAATAAATAAATATATTTGTCTTACAAGCGAGGGAATTGAATTGAATATGGAATTTATCTTTTTCAGTTCCACCTCCACAGAGGCTGGAGTTAAAACCTTCTGAGCACTAATTTGGATTTTTCCCTTATGCTTTATTCTGTGCAGTTCTGGCTGCTCTATTTTGCGAGGAGTATTTATCTCTGTGTGCTCTGTTGTCTGCGCCTTCATTTTTTTAAGTTTTTTTTTTTTTTTTTTAAATATATATTTTTTTTTAGAAACTGCACTGGAGTATAGAAAAAAAATGAATGTAACGTTTCCCATACATTGAACATACCTCTTTGGAGTCTAGTGAAAAACAATTAATGCCACAGATTCAATGACTGACACATTCTTTTTCAAAAATACGTTATATATTTATGTTTAGTTTATGCTTTTTATGCAACAATATATATTCAGTAATATTAAATAAATCACATAAAGTGAAATATTAAAATATTTAAAGTTTAAACAACAAGTTTTATTACGGGTAGTGGGAAAAACAGTATACATTCAGTTGTTCTGCAAGCATGAGATATTAGAGCTCTGCAGCTTTAAAAATGTTCGTATGATGTTTTCTGTTTTGCGACATTAATAATTGTGTGTATATGTGGCTGTTCACATGCTGCCTGTATGTTTGCATATTCCTTATATTTGCATGTGCTTATCAGATCACTAAGGCATGGAAATGTGCGACTGCTTTTTGTTGAGTACACATTTTGAGTCCTTTGTATTGCCTTCTAGATTTGTTAAACAATGGGTGGTGCTTTGAATTAGCACTTTCTGCCAGCCTGCCTGCAACAACCAAAGCTCTGTTGTAATATAGTATTGTGGTTACATTACTGCTTACTGAGAATGTCCATACATGTTTAAAGAGCCTGGTTCCCTTTTGTTTTCTAACCCTGACTCTGGGACACCTATCTCTACATCCCACCCCCCCAAGTCTTGCCCCAAAATCAGTTTACAGGATAGTAGCAGAGGCAAGGGATACGGTTGGTGCCCCAAGAGAATGTTTCCTGCTGTCTTAGGACCAGTCCTGAAATGGAGCGAGGCTCACCTCTGATGGGCCAGGGTGTCCGATTCCATGAGCTGTCAGTCAGTGCAGCCGAAAGCCAACACAAGCCAATGAAGAGGCGTCAGGCCAGTAACAGAGCTAAGGTCCCCATATGGGAAAGTGAATGGGGATCGGCTGCTTCATTTTTAACAACAAAAACACTTTGCGGTACTTAGAAATGAACCTTCCAACCAAATACTTTATAGATGCAAGTAATAAAATATCAGCAGTTTATTTTTCAGCCATTTTAGGTTAAGTTGCATGCTGTTTATATGTAATACGCTAAGAACAATACTTTTCTCCGGCATTCCAAGTGTAATGATTTGTATACATTATGAATTATATATCGCAAGGTTGTTTTTGCGGCAGTAGTGCTCATAGCTTAAAGAGGGGAGAGCTGTGTTTAGGAGCAAAATGATGAGGCACATGTGACAGTGGCTTCAAAAAGAGCGAGACAGAAGTGCTGAGCTCACACAAGCGCAGCGTGGCCAACAGCAGAAGGCTGGGAAACGGTGCGTCTGCTTGTAAGCGACACTCAGTTATTGAACTTTATTGCTCATGTTCTGAAACAGGGAACATTTCTAATCTACGCTTCTCTGGCAGCCTGAGCAGAGTGTCACACATGTCCTTATGTCATTTTGCTTATAGCATTATGCAAATGTGCTGCCCAAAGTTTTCTTCTGTTTGTTTTGTTTATAGACATGTGAAAAACTAAACTTAAGAAATGTAGCGTAAAGTTTATCTAATTTGGACAATGCCTGGATGTCATACTGTGTGTTTATCTCTGTGCGTGTTGTGGTAATTATGATATTGTGGGAATCAGATTTCCCCACAATATAATAATAACCTGTAACTTTGTACCTTGTGGGGACATTTTTTTAGTTCCCACAAACGGAAATTCAATTTTATAAAAATCCATGACTGCAATCAAAAAACTTAAAATGCCAAAAGTCTCATATTTTGTTTGGTTACTTATGGTTAGGGTTAGGGCTGGGTAGGGGTTAAGGTCGTCATGTTGGGATTAGAGTTTTCCCCATAGAAATGAATGGAGAGTCCCCACAAAGACATAATTGTGTATAATTGTGTGTGTGTGTCAGTTCTGTCGGTGGGTGGCTGCATTTCCAGGGATGCACAGAGCTAAAAGCTTTGCCACGTCAGTGCGCTTTCGAAAGGTGATCCAGCCCATCAAGGTGTCTGGTGCCCTTCACACAAAGCCACAGCTGTCTGCCGGCGAGTGGGAGTGGTTCTGTCGAGGCTGAGAGAGGCCCACTTAAAAGCCGCCTGGCCCAGTGCCCTTAAAGGTCAGGCTGCCAAAAACAATGGGGGCCAAGCCGGGACACACCTGTCCACTTTCTCCGGAGCAAAAGCCCAGTTGAGGAATTTTATTTGTTACAAGCAATGAAACCTCAACAACACCATTCCCCCCCCCCACCCCCACCCCAACTGTGCTCCCCACAGTAACTACTCATTGCTGCCTTATGAAACCGGGGTCCTGAAGTGACATAAGTCTTAAGAAAATATGTCAGCCTTTTAGGTTTAATTGGTTCTGTTTGAAAATAGTGAGACTTATGGCAACAGAATTGCTAATGAATCCTTCTTAGGGCAGTAATAATACCCGAAAGAAAATTCACTGTCAAAAACAAATCAATGAAAACTACATTTCCAGAAAAAATTAGTAAGCAAACAGTTCTGTTGTGACATCAGTGTATTATATTAGTTTACTTGCCTGCCATCCAAATTATTTTTACGCCTGTGCTTTCCAGAACAAATTTTACAACTCTACACGTGCATTTAAAAAAAAAAATATATTGATGTGTATCAGTTAGCAAAATTAAAAGGGCATTATGTACATTTCCTACTTTCCAGCATTATATAGGACTCATTTACTGTTACTGTATGATCATGCTGATGTTTGATTCAACAAAAAGAGACTCTGGTACCACAAGACGGAGCCTGTATGCACACTTAGTGCAGGAGGGGAGACCTAGGGAAAGACACTTATCACACTAACACACACATGCGTTACTGAGTCACAAGAGCTACACTGATTGTGCGAGAGGGTGCATATTCTCCGGGCAGCATGCACACTGGCTGCCTCGATTATTCCATAACAGGTTATGTAGTCGGTGGAAAATAAATTCAGGGCAGGGACCTTCTGATAGTACGGAGCAGGAGCAATGTACTGATTATAGGGCTTTAAAGGCATTATCCTTCTCTTCAAGCCAAATCGGAAGTGATAGGGGGATGGGAATGTGTTTCCACTGCTCAGGCTTGATGAGCTCGACAGTCAGAATAGTGTTTTTTGAGCAAGTATGGAAATGGAAGCTTATAGATTAAAACCTGCATTCATTGCTCATGAACATTGTCATTTCTAGCAGTTACCTGCCGCTTGCTCAGTCTTGTAAAGGCTGACATGGTTCATTTACATGTAAAGCACCTGAAAGCTTGTCCTCACATTGTGGGTAGTAAACAGGTCTGTGTGTGACAGCAGTGTGAGGACGGTGAGGGTTTTTTCAAGACCTGACCGTCTCATTTTCTCTTGCTCTCTGTCTCCCAAGCTCTTTGTTGTGCTGGTGTGGAACTTTGAGCTTTACATGGTCCCACTGATGCTGCTGATGGTCTTGGCCTGGAACTACATTTCCTTTGCCGCGGGGAAGGACACCAGGCAGCGTGATGTGGTAAGTTTTTCAGAACCGACCTTTGGCTGTATCCCTACAGCAGGCTTCTCATATCGCCATTATGCCAAACCACTTGTGCATACCGGCTGACTTTTAGCAGAATATGAATGATGAAAAACAGAATTATAATTCATTTTATTTATCACATACTGTATGTGAAAGCAAAGTGAAAAGGACAGATGACTAAGCACATTGTTCTGTGTTCTTTGGTGGGGGGTTAATGGAGGTCTACTTTATAAAAAAGGTAGCCTAGTTTTATTAACTGAGTACATAGAAGAAATTTGTCGGAATGACTTATAGTATAGCATTTAATGTGGAGCATTATATGTTTATCACTGTACAATGCAGCAAAGTGAAAGTACTGCCTCACAGGAAAACAGAAAAGAAATGGTATACGGCAGTATCTAAGCACTGAGGGGGACCTCATTTCAAACTGACGCAAAACCATGAACCGTCTAGCAATTCATTTTATTAATGGTTCCCCTGACAGTTTTAGGGTTCAGAGTTAAAAGACCATGTTTTTAATAAGGATTTTAAAGTGTCATGAATACACAGGTAAAGAATGCACCGATATAAGACCATAACTAGGAGACCGGCACAATTTCCATGGCTCTTTGACTTCATATGAAAAGCAATCTTTGTAAAATAGCAATATCACGATAAGCGGCTGGTATTTTATTTCTCACGTGTGATTCTCATCGATAACCATCAAATGCGGTTCATGTCGGTGAATGAGTCCTTTCCCTGAGTAGGAGAGCTTAGCTCTCGTAAGCTTGATGCACCATGGAGGCAAGACACTTTCATGCAAGGTTGGACGCAATTGCATGAATTGAGTGGCTGCATTATGGATAAGATTATGACTCCATGCATAAGATATTGCTCATAGAACTGCAATTATAGCAACGACTGGTCAGTGTTCCAAACAAGAGCGTGTTGTAAAATGACACTGATGTTTGCAATAGGTCACACAAACCCTATATTGTCAGGGTATCCTCTGTAAAACGGAGCTGTGTCCAGTGCTGCCTATCTGCTTCCATCCATACAATAATATCCTTCAATGTTTCACCTCAACAGCCACTATAGTTCCTCACTGCTTCCACATTCCTGTAGATGGAGACATTGTTTGTGGGAAATAAACACAAGCACTCTCCCAACGCATGCACACATGTGATAAACCCCGAATATTGGTTTGTTCATGTCAAACGATTTACCTGTCATTATAGGCAATTGAAAATCGTAAAATATTCAAAATTACGCTTTGAAAATGTACTGGTAGCTGGTCTTGTTTTTTGTTTTATTTTTGCCCATTGTTACATGTTGCTCAGGCACCATGCACAGTCTGGAAGCAGCTCTGTCAACAGTTTTTGCAGCTCTCTGCTATAAAATATTTACTGAATATATATGCTGTAACCATTTTGGTGTGCTCGGCAGAGGTTATGGTTTTTTGAAGCTCTCATTGGGAGCCCAGAAAGGGTTTGAAGCCAGGCAGTGCAGTTGTGGGGAAGAGGTTATTGGTCTGGCCCCAGAACAGATGAGAACACAGTTTTTTTTTTTCTTTTTTCATTCTGTCTTTCACTCTATTGTTCTACATTTTGACAACTGTAACCACAACAGATGTGCTGTTCTGGGCTGGCAAAGCCGGCAGAGTTTCGCTCACCGACACAGTAAACAAACACCAGCGTATGCTTCTCATTAGCCAGACAGACTGAAGGGAGATGCTTATTTTCCAGAGGAATGAAAGAGAAGGGAAAGTTAGTTCATTATGAACTGCAGGGAAAATACTTGATTATTTTCCCTGAATGGTGTTGTGGCTCATGTGGAGCATGGGCTATTTGATAAAGATTAGCACCTGGTGTCATTAATCGATTCTTCTTCCTGCCTGTGACTGAGAAATGTATTTTCAATCGTTATTGTTTTAACAAAGTCTTTTTGGAGATAAAGTATATCGTACCCCTCAAAATTCAAGCCATCCATACATTTAATGCTTCATACGGTTCATACTGTACTTTAATGCCTCCACACGTTTAATGCTTGAGCTCAGACGAAAATGTTCCGTTAATTTGACGAATGCGAAAAATGACGTCTTACTTGAAAGGCACCAGATTCACAATGATCCTTGGACTGATATGACACAGGAAACGCGCTGCTCCAGGCAGGACTGCATCCTCTGCTCGCTGTTTTCACCTGACCTTAGATGTCTGCTCCAGACAGCCAGCCAGGCAGTAATTTCAGATTACACTAATACAGAGTCTCTGCCAGTCCAGTGACACAAAACCGCATGCTGCAGTTACGTGACGCGCAACAAAAGCAGCCAAACAATCTCCAGACCGCTTCAGAGGATGGAGCAAATTCCTCTCCATCCCCCAGGCTGGGAATGTTCACTGGGTCTGTACAACATCCAGATATTAGCATCTGTACACATTCGGATGGTGGGATGACATGAATTACGTTTTGCCCCCCACCCTTGGCTAAACTACTTTCCACGTTTCAAACACTTCCATTGTGCGGCACATATGGAGGTATGTGTTTTACACTTTGCTCTTTGGGAATCCTGATCCTTCTGGATGCTTCATCCTGCACCAGCATTTACCCCGACAGAGAGAGAGTGATAGGCGTCACTTGCCTGAAAGATCCTGTTGCTAATTTTTTTGAGCAACATATAAAATTAAGTCATGGTGTTCCAACAGAGGTCAGCATGTGGAACGCAATGGTTTGCAAAGCCAGAGAGTATGCCCAAGCAATTCTGCATCAAGCAAATTTTTAACATGTACTCAGGTACTGTAATTAAATGAGACACACACCATTGATGGACTGTACATGTCGCTCATTGTCTGTGTAACTAGTCATGGCTATGATGATGACACATTCTTCTGTCTTAGCTTCTGCTGGGCCTTAGGTTAACATCTAACGTATAAATGTACTTTTCCCACAGAGTACCAGTGTTTCAAGTGCTTTGTCATCTTTAAACGCCACATTTATTTAGCATACTTAAACTGCCTTGTACAGAGCAGTACTCTTATAAATGAATGAGGCAGTATCCATTCCTTAATGACTGAATGAGGCAGTACCCAACTCATAATGAATGAATGAGTCAATATCCATTCTGTAACGAATGAATGAGGCAATATGCAATCCATAATGAATGAATGAGGCAGTACCCAGTCCTTAATAAATGAATGAGGCAGTATTAATTCCTTTACAAAGGAATATTTTCTTTGGGCCATTATTTGATTCCTGGCAGTTGTCAGTTCTGTAATGAATGAATTAATGAGGCAGTGCCTGATCCTTAATGAATGAATGAGGGAGAACCCAGTTCATAATGAATGAATGAGGGAGTACACAATCCATAATGAATGAATCAGGCAGTACCCAATCCATAATAAATGAATGAGGCAATACCTATTCCATAATGAATGAATGAGGCAGTACTCATTCCTTTACAGAGGAATATTTTCTTGGTGAAATTGTTTGATTCCTGGGGTGGGATGGCGTAGTCCGCTGGCTCCAACACCTACTACAACTTCCAGCCTGTGCCTGCTCTCTGGGAAGGGTGCTGCTTCAGCTTTGTTTGGAGCCTGAGAGCTTTGTCGGCCTGGGAGATGGTCGACTCAGTCAAGCGATGGACAGCTCAGCTGGAGTGGAAAACCGCAAGGCCCCAAGCCACCCTGGAAGACCACTGGTCTGGAAAACGCTTTGCCAGATGTTGCTAAGGTGCTAATTATAGCATATATTGTCATGTGAAAGAAAAATACTGACGTCTCTGTCACTGCTGGGTGTGCAATTAAGCAAGCTCATCCAGGGATTCCCTCTTGGTTATACCTTTACAGTGAATATGTGGAGTGATTTTAATCAATACATAATTGTTCTTTTGTCATATGATGTAGAAAATATTGAAAAATACTGCTAAATTAACATAGTATATTTGATGTGTTTGCTTAGCTAATTTGCTCATTCAGTGCGATTGGGTTTAGGTTATAATTTTTGGCACTTATGCTGATACTATTTAAGTACCATATTTAAGAGTACCGCTGCAGTAAGAATGGACTTTTTCTCCAATACAAATGTCTCCTGAACACAGGTTTGCACTGACATGATACAGAATAAAGTTATAATTGATTAATGTCTGTCCTGGTAGTGAACTGGTCCGTAGAAAAACAATGATCCTTTCTGCCAGCCAAGTGCTAGCATGACTACGACAATAAACGACCTGCATAGCAATGCAGGGAAGGACACTGTTTAGTGGTCAGCTCGGATCTTGTTGTCTACCCCAACATGTTGTTCCCCATTAGACGGTAGGCGTTTAACAAAAGCCGTTCCCTACCAAGGTCCAAATCAAAATGTACAATATTAGCCAAGCTTGTAACGCGACAGAGTGATGTTACAGAGAACACGAAACAGGACTGCAGGCTTTATGAAGAACAGAACCACACTTGTTTTTAGTCTCGGAGAATATGTAGCAAATGTCAGGACTGCAAATTAATGTCAGCTTCCCAAACAGATCGGCTGTGTAGGGAATATGAAGCCCAATATTAGCTGAGCAGATGTCGGGTTGTAAGTGGGCTGTAACGATTGATAGGTATCTCACTGGCCTGAGCTGCCGCTGGCAGCTGGGGAGGAAATAAAAAACAAACTGTATTTTGTTTGTATTTATTCTTTTGCTTTCTTAATCAATATTTAATTTTGCCATCAATTTCTCAGCGAAGGAAAATATTTGAAATGGTTATCAATGTTGATAGACAACCCATTTCAAAGCAGAGTAAGTATTGACTGGTTGCGTAATTCAGTGTGATCCATCAGGTAAAATCTCGGCGCTGTTACTTAAACACTCGGTTGCTGGATCCTACTGTGACGTCCCTCCTTACGCTTCTTTGTCATTGTGCAGCGTGTCCTCGTAGCTCGACAGCAGGAAGTGAAAGCTATATACATGTTAATAGGAGATGAAAGCAGAGTCAACGCTGATTTTGAGCCAAACGCCCCTGTTTAGCCTTCGTTTACATTCTAGGCCCATGCAACAGAAACAAAATGTCTGAAGATTTTTTTTCCCCCCGGTTTCTGTTGTTTTTGTCGACTTGTTTCACCCTATGCGTCTAATTTAAAAACAAACTGCTTCGATGAGCACTTCATGAATAAATGATGTGCTGTTTTCTCTTCCATGAGTGTTGCCGCTTTAAAGGTGGGGGCGCAGGGAAAAGGGGGCCCCGTCAAGCCCACCCCGCCAGCCGAATCAAAACGGGCGTATGTCCCGGATCAGGACCCTTTGAAGTGCACCCTGTCATGCCCTCAGATGCAGCCCTCATTTAGGGCACGCTGTGCCGTGCGCTCAGCTCCCTCCCGCGCATGGAGAGCTGCAGCAGATGCGGCGGTGCGAACAGCGCACGCCGAATAATGACGAGCGGGGAGCAGGCGCTAGCACGGGCGGCCCTGCCGGGCTTTAATCTGCCTGCCGCGCGCCACACCGACGCTGCCTGCATGGCTCTTTGTGCGGTGCCACAGCCAGACATCTGGGGTGGGGGCGGGGGGGGGCACAAGATGGTGGTGGCGGGGGGGAATAAAGGCCCCGCACTCTGCAGATGCTTATCTGCCTCACTGTGACATCCGAGCTGGTGACAGGTGACAAAATCAAAAGGTCATGTCACTTTTAACTGGGAAACATTACAGTGGCGCTGATTTCCCCCGTGCCTCCCAATCCGGGATGGAATTTAAAGCTGGAGCGCCTGCATCATCCTTCCCCTTCATCCCTGGTGAACTTTGTGCACTTTTTGCTAATGATCCCGCCCCTCTGTTCGCTTCCGCCGTGTGTCAGCAGGAATGCGGTGGCTCCCTGAGTCGGCCCCGCTGTGGGTTACAGCAGGTGCTGGTTTATATCTTTTTGGCCAGTCGCTCTCTTCGCTGCAGACGGGTTTCAATCTCTCGCATGTGATCATCACCCAGACAGCATAGGGCCAAGATCGGCGGCTTGTGGATGCTTATGGAAGCTTTTCTGACACCATGATGCATACAGATGCCTCAGGAAGCTCTTCTGCCACCATGATGCATGCAGATGCCGCAGGAAGCTCTTCTTACACCATAATGCATGCGGATGCCGTAGGAAGCTCTTCTGACACCCAGAGTCAGCCCCGCTGTGGGTTACAGCAGGTAGTGGTTTCCATCTCTTTGGCCAGTCACTCTCTTCGTTGCAGACGGGTTTGAATCTCTTGCATGTGATCATCACCCAGACAGCATAGGGCCAAGATGGCTGCTTATGGAAGCTTTTCTCACACCGTAATGCATGCGGATGCCGCAGGAAGCTCTTCTGAAACCGTAATGCATGCAGATGCCGCAGGAAGCTCTTCAGACATCATAATGCATTTGGATTCTGCAGAAAGCTCTTCTGAGCACCAAGTTCTTCTCTAGCTTAAGGATAACCATTGAAGGATTTCTTCAAAGGCTGGACAAACGATCTAGTTGGAACGTTGTTCTAGAAGAATGACATGCACAGAGCCCATGCTGAAAGCCCTGACCTGTTTGATCAGTGCAAGAGATGTGGCACGCTGGAGGGGCGGCCGTGCCCGCTGGGTGCCCCGGATACCCTCCCCTCTGGGCAAATTCAACAGTTTGGCCCGGTGCCAGCGCATTGCCCTCCTCCGATGCTGAGCTCTGACAGCTTGTGAAGGCCTGAATCAATGAGACGTGCACTGTAGAGAGCCCTTATCGGGGAGCCGAGCTCTCCTCTCTGGGGTTTTGATCCACACACGGCATACCGAGCAGGGCAGGCGGGAGCAGCTGCAGAGGTTAAAATGTTTCACGTTTCAAAGGAGCGGGGAAAAAAGAGGAGTATATCTTCATGTTCAGTGGAATGTCTGCATCGGCATCTATTCCCCACGTGCCTGTCATTCTGAAGGTTAGGGGAGAGCAAAGGTACTGCCTTTCTGTACACTCATCACAAAGGAGGAGCAGAAGAAGGCAGACTGAGAATTCAGAGAGCCGGGAGTGATGGAACTATCCTGCTTAAAATTTGTCAAGAATGTTAATCTTCTGTTATTTGTTCAGCCGAAATCTGCCTGCAGGTCACATTGTTAATTAAACCTATTATTGATTTCATGATGCTTTATGGTCTGTAATGTGATGTAATGGCAACAATTGTGTCAATATTCAGCAACGCTAATTCTGAACCAAGGAGCACAGCTCAACAGACAAGGTCAGAATTTATTAACTGAGCGTACCGATTTGACATACACATGTGCCACACTACGACACGTTGGCCTTTGGTTCTTTATTGTTGTATTTATTCATGTTATACAGTCATTGTAGTGCTACGTTCCGAAGCAGAGCTCTCAACATCTTTCTATACACATGCTTGCATATATATATATATATACACACACACACACACACACAACACACACAAAGAGAGAATGGAGAAGAAGCATGTGTCTTCCGTAAGTACAAACCATTATTGGCTGTTTTCTCTGGCTCCTGTCTCTTGTCCCCTCTGTGGACTGAAATATACTGAGAGAACTGAGCTGTGGTTAATTTTGGATAATTATCCAGGCTGCACCATGGAATTCTGGAAAACAGCAGACTAAACTGTCGCTGAACCTCTGGGCTATTGATGGAGACATAGTAGACGAGACATCACCACGAGACCCCGAGCTGTTTGCTCAGAGGACACCACGTTTTGGCCGTGACCCCTCTGTGTTCTGCAAAATACTTATTTACATAAGAAGCTTAAGTCAAAATTACTTTTAAAAATAACACATTCCATTGTCCAGTAAAAGAAAAAAAAAAAACTGTGATTCCACAAACTTATTTATGAGTGACATAAAAAATGAGATTCAATAAATCCACAGTCTGTTGGCCAGGGGGTTTATGGTACTTGACTTGTGCTGGACTTGTTTGTATAGATGGTGCTCACATGACCTTCTAGCTTTGATGTGTGAATGACAGAGGGGGCCACAAGAAAAACGATCTGTGCTGCGCTCTCCTCCAGCAACACAAACAGGCATGAGATACTGGCCCTGTGACTCCCCCAACAACCCCCCCCCCCCCTCAACACCACCACTGCTCTGCCATGCACACGCGCACACAGCCCACCCCCTCTATATTTCTTTAAAGAAATCTGGGCCACACTGTACCCCCCCCCCCACCTCAACACCACCACTGCTGCGCCTCCCTCAGGGGCCACAGTCACTGAATTGAATGTTTTCAATTGACCAAGAAAAAGTCTTTATGTTTCTGCCAACAAATTGCTTGCGCCTATGACAACTAAATTTAATAGCCGTTCCCAGAATTGTGTTTTGATCTTAGCAAATGAAGTGATGAGAGTTTATAATTGCTGAAACCCAAATCCTGACATCAAGTCCATATGATCATTCAAGGCGTCAGACCTCCCTAATGGTTATTGCTACTTGTCTTTGATTGTGTAATTAATCAGGAAAATAGGTATTGATATGTAGAGTGGTAGTTTAACACACTGCAGTATAATACTCTTCTATGCTTTGGGTATTTGCAAGTCAATGCTCTTATTGTTTTTGTCATTAAGTGTTTTATGGCTACCAATTACTACCTCTGAATTTCAAGATATGTGTGATACACGGCCAAATCTTACTATTCACGTTCGTGATTGTTCCTCAGTTTAGATATATGGTCCACATGAGAAGAGTGTCTAGCTGGGCACCCATTTATTTTTCCAGTATCTCTCCTTTAGAATATACCTATTCTTTATTTTCTATATAGCTTTATAAATTATGCCTTTATGGTTAAGGATATTAAGCATATAGGTAGTGTGATTATATGAGGCTTGTATATCAGTTTAGTTTATCTTATAGTATATCTAAAAAGTGTATTATTGTCAGTTAGTCTTATTTAAGTTTCTTGGGGTGTTAAAACTCGGAATCGTGGCGGTAAACCATAATATCACAGTTTCATAGCCAAATGGAATTGATGCAACAATGTTACATTTGCTGCCTGTCTAAGTTTGGGGGCTGAACCCTAAAGAAACCCAAATTCCCCCTGCACCTGACAGCGCTTCCCGAGTAACAAAAAACAAGTAACTGTTTCATAAGGAAAAGGTGAATGAACACATTGTTTCCTGAAGATCATACCGTACCACGTATCACACAGATTTCATTTTCTCCGGCAGATTTGTCCCAGTGATAAAGCAGGTGCAGTTTGCAGCCGGCAGCATTGTATCGGGTTACTATCGTGTTTCCGGCCTGCGTGTGGTCAGAGGAGCTGCCTGGCCTGGTCATTGTTACATCCGCTTTAGATCACCGAAGCACATAGTTAGCGTGTTACATCACTTGCCTGAAAGTCTGTATGAAGCCATAATGAAGATATGGATGGATAGACCTAAGCAACTGGGTAATAGAAGGGGGGTGGGTGGTAATTTAGTTCTTTCTAAGACAGGGGTGGGCAATCTTATCCGCAAAGGGCCGGTATGCAGGTTTTTGGGATAACCTGTAGGTCAGCTGTTCAAACCCAGGTGTGAGGACTCTTCAGTCAATCAGTCCTCTAATTAGTAATCTAATTAGGGAGCTGCAGCGAAAACCCGCATACACACCGGCCCTTTGCGGATAAGATTGGCCACCCCTGTTCTAAGACATATTGAGAAAGAAAGCAACAATTGTGATGTGAGTTATAAAATTCATTCTATGCTTTTCCTGCTTTTCCTGTGCGATGCTGTGGTGGACATCAGCAGGCCCTGGAGGACATGCTGAGGGGAGAAGACGAGGACTGTGTCAGAGACGACAAGGTAATTACTGCCACTATCAGCAGACGGCCTTTTTTAGATATGGCTCTGTTTCTAGGAGTGGAAGACAAACTGAAAACAAATTGAATTTTTCTCCCCAGTGCCTTGAGTCCCAAACCTTTAATGCCCCCCCCCCTTAAAGATTGCCACATAAACTGGGCTGCTAAATCTGAGCACTGAACAGGCTCAGTGCTGCTTTGTGAGAAACACGATAAAGATGATTTTATTTTGCTGTATTGTTTTCTGTTTTGCTCTGCTCTGCTTTGCCTGGCTTTGCATTGCATTGCTTTGCTTCTCCGTAACTGGATTTGAGTACATTTTATCCATTTTATCACCTAATAGAATTTTAGAAAATATGGTAAAAAGCTTAGGCCATATATCTATATACAGTGTGCAGCTGTCTTTCATCGCTATCTATGTATTTGTTATATTTATTTTATTTATTATTATTATATGTACTTGTGGAAACCCCTGTTTTAAAGAAGCGGAAAAAGGGGGCTCCAACATATACTGTATGTCTATATAGAGTACAGAAATTGATTCAGGTTCTGTTATGATAGTCAGGACTATGATTCAGGTTCTGTTATTTAAGCAGATAGATAAATACTAGACTGGAAGCCAAACCTTTTGCACAGGTAGATGTCAGATTCATAGACTCATCTGAATAAAAAAGAAATATATAAACAGATTTGTTGTGTAGATTATCCAGTCACCGGTTCTGGTATTCTCATTTTGTTCTAATTGGTGAGATGTGCTGAGAGTTCTGGGTAGGAGGAGGAGGGGAGGGCTCGTATGGGGAGGGGGGCAGGCGAAGATTAAACACAAACACGTAATTTGAACTCTGTATGCACAAAATCTTCATAATGTCAATGGAGGCCTCACCATTTCTCTAAGGCTACAAAGAAAATGGAATTATCTGCCTGAGGAACAAGCATTTTGAGGGGATAATTCTGTTAGCATTGGCATAAGCTATTGGAGGCCTAAATTGCGTAGCCTCAATATCTATCTTCTCCAAACTCTATTATTTTAACACATAGGACTTACTTTATAGCCCCTTAGTGTCAGAGAGTGCAGCTACCTCTGCAGTCTGAGGTCACGATGCTAAGAAAGTGGATGAAGCCCAGAGCTGCTGTATTTTATCCTTCTCCGTGCTATAAGGCATCTTACTACAAGCTACTAGGCAGCTCTCTGTGGTTAGCAGGTGTGGACATTGCTGGCACCTGGAGAGTTTGCCTGTCTCCCTTATTCTCCTCATACCCACTGAAACACACATTATCATAAACACAATTAAACTTTCATATTGAAATGAGCAGACCGTGGCCAGCACACTCTCCTTTGCCTGTAGATTCAATCCGGAGATTATTCCACATAAGAGGAGTCCATTAATGCTATGCATTGGAAGCTGATAATATAAATAGTAACTTAGATTTCTCTACATTTTGATCCATTGCACTGCTTGACGTCTGGTGTCCCGTATGAGCCGTTTGGATGTTGAAAGGCAGTATTTCTCATTTTTCTTTCAGTCCTATCTCTCCCCTGCCAACTTTTGTCCATTCCTCTTCCTTCTCTCTCTCTCTCTCTCTCTCTCAACACTTTTCTTTTTTCCTGGTTAAGTGCACAACAAATGGAGTTTTGAGGCTGGACAAATTTGTCTCTCCCATTCACTCTCAGGTAGTGAAGTGCCCCCCCCCTCATTACCTCGTCTGTTTGCCCAAATTGTAAAATATTAAGGTCAGGTCAGAGGAGGCCCTTTTATGGGATGAAAGTAAAAAAAGATTAATAAATGTGCCAAGGCCTCATTTTAATTGAACCTGAAGCATATGTTGCAAGTATGTGCAATATGTCCCAGATGTTTAACCTTGGCTGGTGCTCTGCTCCTCCCTGCATGCCACAAGGCAACTATTAGCTGGATAACCTTTGGTCCTGGGGGGCTAAACAGGGTATTACATGGCCCAAAACTGAAGCACCTGTTTCCCATTCTGCGAGGACCCCTTGCAGGCTTGGCCTAAGCTTCCTCATGAGTTTTCAATTAGCAGATAGTTCAGGCGATTGTGAAAAGTGTCTTTCTTTGGAGCCAGTATCAATATTAAGTCACTTACTGTCAATGAAAGCCGGAGCCTGGGCTAATTAAAGTAGACAGCTGAGCTGTTAAAGCCAAAGAGGTACCTGAAGGTGCTGGCATGACACGATCTGGATCCACAGCCCTGCAGTTGCATTCCTGCTAGGTCACACCTCACAGCAATGTGTCCTTCATTATTCACACCTCATTCTTAATTTACATACTGCAATTTTTCATGCAGTCTAGGCTTGACACAAACATACAGGCCTTGTATGTTTTATTCAGAGCAGTGCCGGAATCCTTAATGTCCCCCCCCCCAATGCGCTTCACACTGACCAACTCTACTGCTGAAGAGCTCAGAATCTAAGAAAGAGCAGAGAAGACAAATGGACATAGCAAACAGGCCATTTCCCAAGTACACCATCGAACAGATGTGCATAAACAGCTGTTTGCAAAACAGGAAGCGTCAGGGTATTTCTTGAAGCTCGACACTAAACATTTAAATCTGAATGCAGCTGACATTTCTTAGCAAGGCACCACAGCTACCAATACGTGTCGTTATAGTACTCCAATCGGTAATAAAATATAAAGTAATGAAAAGGTTTAAAATGACACTATTTCAATGTATACTTCAAGTTGCTTCCCATCTCCGCAGCTTGTAGGATTTGCTAAAGGCATCAGTTGAAGGCGAGTCACTGGTGGTACAATGATGCTTACGCTGTGTTTGCCAGGTAGCTTCCGAGTCACGCCGAAGCAGCGAGTGTGCAAGACAGGCCGCGCTCGTCTCCGGAGAGCACATTGTCTCAGCCTATTGTCATCATTCTCCGAGAATAAAAAAAGAAAGCACCTGATCCGTAACAAAGCGGATGCGCGCTGAAGTTTAGACGATGCCGCGTGCTAACAGAGATGAGGGGACTGTAATGAGTGTGTCATTAGTGGTGAAGGCCGTCCCCAGGGCGGGTGCTGTCACTCATGTTTAAGCACTGAGGACAGGATAGTTACTCCACCTGAAACATGGTGTGGTGTTGCTCCCTGGTGAGGCTCTGCTTCTGCAGAGAGATCACACCCGCCTTACTCCATGGCTCATAACGAACGTTACACCGAGGCATCCAGGACCTTCTAGCTGCTGGTGCTTGCTGACTATTCCCACTGTCTGCCGGACAGTCTTACAACTGGCTTGGGCGCCTGCTGCAGTCATGCGCTACACACACAGCGTCACATTTCACTCTTGGTATTTTGCAATCTCATATCATTACACACATAAACACAAGGGAGAAGGAAGAGAAGACTGTGGTGTTTCCAGTGTTGTAGATTTCCTTTTAGTTTTATTCTCTTGGCTTGCTGGACCTTTTTGCATTTTACATTTGCTGTTACATTGTAAAGCTATAAAACTGAGAATTAAAAAATATATATATATATAGGGGGGGGCGGCATGGTGGTGCAGTGGTTAGCACTGTTGCCTCACACCTTTGGGACCTGTGTGGAGTTTGCATGTTCTCCCCGTGTCGTCGTGGGATTTCCTCCGGGTGCTCTGCTTTCCCCCCACAGTCCAAAGACATGCTGAGGCTAATTGGAGTTACTCAATTGCCCATAGGTGTGCATGTGTGAGTGACTGGTGTGTGAGTGTGCCCTGTGATGGGCTGGCCCCCTGTCCAGGGTTGTTCCCTGCCTCGTGCCCATTGCTTCTGGGATAGGCTCCGGACCCCCAGCAACCCAGTAGGATAAGCGGGTTGGAAAATGGATGGATGGATGGGTGGATGGATATAGATATATACACACACACACACATACACTTAGACAGAAGGCCATTGTCAGAAAATGCCCTATATATGTCTTTTGCTGTACAGTGCAGCAGAACCAGTGCCGCACAAAAATGGGGGTAACAAGTCAATTTTCTGTTTATTCCTAGCGACGCTTTCCGCATTGTGCACAGGGGATTTTGCGTTTTGTCGCGCAGGGCTGAACAATGAGCACTTCTTGGCTTTTCATTGCCTGTGTGTTTGGACGGTAAGAATGAGATGCTATCTCCAAAGAAATAACTAATCTTATTTCCATTAACATTTGGAGCTACTAATCAGAAATCTAATAGACTAACAAGGACGGCTGAAGCCGGCTGATAGGGGCCCCCCGCTTATCGATGGCTGGGCAGGTGCCATGGTCTGCATTAGCAGCACTGCTAGCATTACCTCGCCGCCTGGGGTGGAAAGGTGTCAGGCTCCCTGCTTCGGCAACCTCTGGGCCTGACAGGCCCATAATCAGCCTTTTCTCACCCTGCGCCGCATCCACAGCCTATGGGGCAACATTAGAGGGAAAGCGCCTCACCTTTCAGCACTGTGAAATGCTAAATCAGACCCTGATCCATGCACGATTATGTGTGAGGGAATCTAAAATTACAGCGCTGCTTATCGGCAGATAACACATGGGCGAATCAGCTTTCCAGAGTGACAGATTTCCGCCGATTGCACCAACAGCTGCGTTGTAGTATGTAATTGGACTAAAGAGAGCACTGGGATTATTTTAATGCCTTAAAAAGTGTGACTGAAAACTTGTTCTCGGGCTATTGAGCTTATGATTCGCCATGCATGTCCTTAGGTAACAAGATTTTTTTTTAAATGTGCTGAGCAGAATGAAGAAACTTTTCAGCTTTAAGTTCTATTCTTCTTGCCTCTGAAGTATAAAAAAAGCTTCGTGCTGCCAAAGATCCTTAGGAAGTGCTTGTTGACGCTGCATTTTACTCACACATGGAAGCATGCTCTCTGCCCTTTACAAAGTTGTCTCTATCGTGCTTTTCCCACAACAATCACTTGTCTCCCTCCAACATAGTAAGTCAACTGTTGAACTTTTTCTTTGTCTCCTTGCTTGAAACATCTTCTTGATTTATTCCGGCCCACAAGGTCCCAGGTTCTCTCCCTTCAGACGATGCACAGCAGCCTGGCAGCCAAATCCTTGAGAGTTTCTTGGCTTCCTGGCACTTTGCGTGGATAGACGTGATGGTGGTAAGTCTGGATGGTGTCCTGGTGTCGCAGCAGCTCCTCATGTGTCCGCAGTCCTCTCTGTAGCATTTCATGTTGTGGTCATATTTCACCTGCTTTGTCGCTTCTTTGTTTTGTAGACGGGCTATTCTCTGCCAGTACAGTCGTACCCCTGTGGAGAAACAGATTGTCCCAGGACTGCACCGGCCGGTGCTTTAACTAGCGTTTGAGCAGCTATGGTTTTCCTTTAAGGAGACACTGACATGCATGGAGACAGAATGTCACTGAGGTCTGGTGCTGTTTTGAAGTCCGGTCTCTGTTAGCTTCTTGCTGAGATGCTTTTCTGCTTGGTTCCATCGGTAGAGGACAATAGGTCTTTCTGTTTTTTTGATTTATTTATTTGCCGTTGTACAAGGTACATAAGAATTCTTTGATTCTGCATAGCCTGGCTTGCTTTCATTGAGAGATTCGATTCTGGGGTCAAAGCATATAGTGCAACATTCCTAAAGTAGCTGCGGTTAAAGGCCTTGTTCAAGGGCCCATTGATGGTACGATTACACTGCCAGCCATAGGGTTCGAACCCACAACCTCCCGAACATAGGCATCACTGGTTCAGATTTTGAAGTACAAATCCAAAGGCTCATCTTAGTGGGTTTTCATTTCTGAAAGCAATTTCCATGTTTGATTTGGAGCAGAATGTTAGTGGGGTTTATGGAGGCTGAGACTCCTGTCAGAGAGACACTACAAAAGCGACAAAAATAAAAATAATGTAAAGGTAATGTAAAATACCTCATTCCAGTCCTTAAATGACTCCACACCAATGAATGGAAACAAATGCACATAAAGTGTATGTATAAAACGCATGAATGCATAAAATTAGACTTTTTGTTCACAGCGTTTTATTCATGATAAATGCACCATAACAATGATGCATTGTTCAGTGTATTTCCTTCTCCTTATATGTTTTTTATATGGTATATGACACCATGATTTTGGTTTTCAGTTTGATTTTTAAATAATATAGTGTAATGGATGTAGGGTTATATCAAAATCTACTTCACAGTTACTGAAGTCTCACATTAAATGTTTGCCTGCCTTTTTCACCCTTGGAACAAAGTAGAACTTAAAGCAGCTTGTTTTTTTGACAGCTTTGTTTTGGGGAGATGGAGAGTTTAGTCCCGAATCCAGGTCAGCAGAGGATGAAAATAATTGCACTCCATTCATCAGAGTGGGCATTGGGGGGGGGGGGGGGGG